AGGTGGAAGTGATGTAAATTTTAGGAGAATTATAAATTTACTTCCTGTTCAATAATCTAGTAAATCAATCAATAGAATGAGGATATAAAGAGGGTAAACAAGACTTATCTAGCTTACCCAAGAAGAAGGCTATATCTGGGCGATCTGAAATTATGCCTTCGCTCTCCTCTTCACTACAGTGGCTCAGGCTGGACTCTCTCCTTACATCACCATTTAATGCATTGCTCAAGTTTCCACTAATTCCATTCTTTTGTGTGTGCAATAAGTTTTGGAATTCCTGACTCTTTTCCAAGTTTAAGGTCTCTATATTCTCTTGCTTCCTCATCATACAATTATCTTCTTGACTTCTGAACTGTTTCTGATCTTCATTTTGTGTTTTTTCCTTATCACTGCAAGAACTGCTGCTATGTGGAGAGCTTTGGTTTTCTGTCACATTCTTTGGCTTTGCAATAAAGCTTAACATTGAAAATCCATATATGAGGACACAAAAGCAATACAATGGAAGGAGACCACTTTCAGTAAGCCTTCCTAGGGTTTCTACATCCAGGTAGTGAAATGCCTCATTGCACATGTAAAGGCGCGAGTCAAAATTGCGAGGGTCACCCATCTGTAGTTTTGCCAAGAGCAACTGGTAAACATGTGAGTCTGCATCTATATGAAGAAAGTCCTGCAACGAAGGAATAGTTCTGTTACTTTTATAAGAAGAAACACTACAAATCTCAGTACTCATACTAATCAAAGCCAAATGTATCTAAAATTAGTAACCACTTCAAACTGAACAAAAAATGACTATTACCTTCACAAAAACATTTATCAGCAAAGTCACCATGAGCATAACAAACACCTCAGCTACAGCAATTGCAACTTTTGACACAAGTCCCCTGTTCTTGCCATAGAGGGGGGACAAGGACACGGTAAAAGCTGGGATGATCATTGATAGCACTGGTGATGAGATTATCATAGGTGGGTGGCCTTGCACAAAGCTTGAAACCAGGAGCGATGTGCCAATTGCTAAGATTAACCTCTGAACCTAGAAGAGACAGAAGGAATATAAAGTAAGGCAAGGGGAATATTAATTTTGAGTATTTTAGTACTTTTATGTACTTCCATTTTTGTGGCTCAATCCCTGTTCCTGATCTATACTAATATGTAACACAAAAGAAATTTGGAGAAAATCAAGATGAAAGGATATTTCTGCCTATTTAAACTCGATATAAAGAATATAATCATCTGTACAAGAGAAATGTTGCTTGTGATAAAAAATATTCAGAGTTAACTTGAATATAATGTTACTTTAAAATAGATTAGAATCAGAAGTGGTGTATTACAGAACTGGTCTGACCAGGCAAATAAAGTGCCTGGTGTATCAAAGCAAACGTCTAATTTCTAGTAATTGAAGGTGAACAGGTAATACCTTTTCTTGTGGCAACAGATGCAGACGACACAGAGCCACCATACAAATCAGCTGACAGAGGAGAACAAAGGGTCCAAATTGCCAGCTCAGTAAGAAGCTCAGTGTAAGCAGCAGAATAGTAGCTAATTTTACAATCTGTTAATAGACAACAAGAGAAAGTGGAATAATTAAAGGATGAAAAAATATATGCAAGATAATGATGAAAAATATGTTATATATTAGGATGTATATATACATATATTTGGCACATCTAAAGTTTCTAGTCTATATCAGTATTGCTCTACATGTCATGCAGGACACTGACCTGCCATTTACTCGATCTTAAGAATGTGCATATTATCAGTATCTGTAGGAACAGAAGAGGGACCGCAAAGCTCTCTCGAAGTGGGATGGTATAGTTGACTCTTGTTGTGTCTACCCTGATAAGTACATATGAATATATCTTATGTATACATATACTGCTGTTTATGAAAAAATCCTCTTGAAATTTTTTACTTCAAATCCTAAAATGCTGTGTATGGACAAATAGTACTCTAATTGTTAAATGCATCTGTATCCCTTTTCAAAGACATAAATAACATAATCATTTTTTTCTTCCAATATAAAAGACATTCCACATCCCATAAAAGAATTAAATGTCTTTTCTCACCTATGAGCAACATAAAAAATAGCAGTCAAAGCTCCTCCAAGTATGGAACCACTGAGATACCATGATGTAATGTACAAGCCTGCTAAAAACACACCATGGAGGCCAAACACAGTCCATACGTAGAAGATGATAGGTGAAACTTGAAGAGTGAGCCATCTGAAATGTGCCAAGATACAAGACTTACCACAGTTTCAACAACATATGATACCTATTGCAATGTTGCTTAAGATATACTCTAACATTATCATTTCAAAGACAAAAAGAAAGAACTGGAAAAAAAGGAAAAAAGTAGTTTGAAATAAATCAGGATACTTGGAATCAAGATTTGCTATTCTATAAGGAAAACTTCTAAAAAACAGAAAATATTACTGAAGAGCATCTATGCATTCATATCAGCATTATCCACACCCAACATATTTAAAGCTTACCTATGAACA